AGTTGTATATATAACTATTTACATAGCATTTACATTGCATGAGGTATTAGATGTAATCAAGAGATGATTTAAAGTTTACTGGAGGATGTGTATAGGTTACATGCAAATACTACACTATTTTATATCAGAGGCTGGAACACCCTTGGTATCCACTGGTGGAGGCGGCTCCCTGGAACCAAGCCCCAGCAGATACCAAGGAATGACTATATTTCTTTCCATGAATCAGAGCACTAATGATCGCTCCCATATTTGAACTCTTAATAGCTCTTATATGCTGTTTAATCAAGAACAAACTCTCTACAATATGATCAACGGTAATTCTCAACCTATCTATTATTACTTTCCTTACAGCTCTAAGATCCAGCCAAACCAACCCTTGTAGCCCTCACTATTTCCCAAACATCCACACGTTTTTCTGCTTCTACACCTTTGCTTAAGATTTTCCTTGCTCAGAATTCCAACAGTTCACCTTTTGGACTAAAAAATCTCCCAGTACGTAAGTGTTTATGTCAAATGCTACCTGTTTCTCAAGAACTTTTAACCATAATATATAACCCCTGGCTCAATGCAGCCCTCACAAAAATTTGTACAAATGGTATCTTGCATTATATTATAGATATCTGGTATTTCTCTTTGTCCTCCCTACTCAATGGTAAGCTGCCTTCTATCCCTCATCTTTACATTCCCTTCAACAGGAGAGAGCCTAGAAAATATGCAGTGCTTCACAAGTGTTGCTAAATTGAATTATATTAGCTCTTCCTAAATTACTAAAACCGAAACTTTTTAGGTAATGTATTTCAACGGCAATTTCAAAAGATTTCTAAGAAAATGATATATTATTTAAGTGTCATTACAGCTGGTCATGGGGGCAACCAGAAATGCTTTGGAAATATCAACTGAAAGTTTCTTTCCATGCAATCAAACATTTTGCCATTCTTTCTTTTTTTTCTTTTCTTTTTTTCCTGCAATGGAGTGTCGCTCTGTCAACCAGGCTGCAGTGCAGTGGCACAGTCTTGGCTCACTGCAACCTCTGCCTCCTGAGTTCAAGCAATTCTCCTGCCTCAGCTTCCCGAGTAGCTGGGACTACAAGGCGCACACCACTACACCCAGCTAATTTTTGTATTTTTAGTAGACACAGGGCTTCACCATTCTACCAAAATTATTTTACCCCTTAATAGACCATCACATCCATAGGAACACTCACTTGCCTGGATCTTTGTGCTATAATAGTCTGAGGAAGATGCATGTGCCATGAACAAGTGGACAATGGAACAAACAGACTTCTAATGGCGGGAGACTAATCACTTTCAACCAGCACCAACTATAATAAGTACGTTTCTTATGATTCACAGTATAATAATCCCAATGGACTTAACTTTAAAAGGGCATAGTGTATCTAATACAGCTGCCCTGAGGCTGGGCCAAAATAATTATCCTTACTTGACCTTTTGGGCCTTGAATCAATAACAAGCCCAGACTACATGAAGAGAACTAAATTGCTCTCACTGCATTAAATGCCCGACAAACACCAGACCAGCTATCTATCCATCTGTCCCCTCCATCCACCCATCCTTCCATCCATACTAGCCCACCAGTTATGAGTCACTGTAATAATGTAATGTATGTATACATTTTAATATGTACTGAGCCCTTACTTTGTGTCAGATGCTAGTCTAAGTATTTTATGTATGTTAAAGCTTACAACAGTTCTGTAAGGTAGGTACTGTTATTCCCATTTTACAGATGAAGAAATCAAAGCGAGAATGTTTAGTAACTGCCCAAGTTCATACAGCTATTGAGTAGGAGGACTAGGATTTGAATCCTAGAAATTTTCTCCCAGAGTCCACACTTTTTCTTTTTTCTTTTTCTTTTCGAGACAGTGTTTCATTCTTGTTGCCTAGGCTAGAGTACAATGGCATGATCTCAGCTCACAGCAACCTCCACCTCCTGGATTCTCCTGCCTCAGCCTTCCGAGTAGCTGGGATTACAGGCACGTGCCACCATTCCCAGCTAATTTTTTTGTCTTTTTAGTAGAGATGGGTTTCACCATGTTGGCCAGGCTGGTCTCAAACTCCTGACCTCAGGTGATCCACCCACCTCGGCCACCCAAAATGTTGGGATTATAGGTGTAAGCCACCTCGCCCAGACAAGTTTATTTTTATTTGTTTAGAGACGGAGTTTCGCTCTTGTTGCTCAGGCTGGAATGCAGTGGCACAATCTCAGCTCACCACCACCTCTGCCTCCCAGATTCAAGCAATTCTCCTGCCTCAGCCTTCTGAGAAGCTGGGATTACAGGCACATGCCACCAAGCCTGGCTAATTTTTGTGTTTTTTAGTAGGGATAGGGTTTCACCACGTCAGCCAGGCTAGTCTTGAATCTTGACCTCAGGTGATCCACCCACCTCAACCTCCCAAAGTGCTGGGATTACAGGCATGAACCACCACACCCAGCCCAGAGCCCATACTTTTAATCACTCCATGATATAGTACTATGAGAGAAGGATTTTGTTTTCTTCTTAGAAGTTGGAGAGGTCTCTGAAGTTACTCTATTTCTGGAAAGCACCTACAGGAAATTTCACAGAGGTGTGCACAGGTGCACATAAACATAGAAAACCTGCTCTGTTTCCATATTACAGTGATAAAATTGGAGCTATTTCTTAAAAATAAAACTGAGAAGCTAAATTTGAAGCACGGAATACATTGACGAGCTCGCAAGGCAGCCCTGTGTGCTACTTGTAGGGATCTTCACACGGGCCTCACAAACGTGGTCAGGGCATTTGCGAGGACAGATTCTGCTCAAGGCCCTGTAGAGTAGGCCTTGATGGGCATCAGTCAGCAAGATGAGAATAAAAAATGAACTTCGTTATTCCATTCAGTCTTAAAATAAAGAGAAGCATTTCATCTTCTATAGAAGTGCATGCATAACCAAACAAAACCATGCTTAACTCAGTCCTGCATTTTGTATCAGGAAGGAAGGAATGCAGTGACTAAGATGCTATGAGTAAACAACAAATCATTTTCTATGGGAGGGGAAAAAGAACGCTACCACAGCATTCCTTCTGCATAGTTTTAGGGAGAAAAGCACCAGCCTAGGTTCTTCAACAGAGAAAGTGAATCTGATGGTACTCACAACTCTCCCCAGTTAAAGGCTGCATCTTACCTCTTACGTCTGTAATAAAACAAGAGAAAATGCCCTGGAAAATTTGTTCAAAATTCATGATATTGAAGAGGGTTTGCCAGAGGCCATAAGTCAGAGAAGCCAAGTAACAGTCAAATTTGGAATGAAATATTAGGCGATAACTTAGCTTTCATTCCAAAGGGCTACCCTTAATAATACTGCAGTTTGTAGGGCTACAAAGTTAAATAACAAGTTGTGGTGTTCAATATTTTTATTTTATTATTTATTGAGATGAATTCTCAATCTCTGTCACCCAGACTAAAGTGCAGTGGCATGATCTTGGCTCTCTGCAACCTCCGCCTCCCAGGTTCAAGCAATTCTCCTGCCTCAGCCTCTCAAGTAGCTGGAATTACAGGCACATGCCACCACGCCTGGCTAATTTTTGTATTTTTAGTAGAGACTGGGTTTCAGCATGTTGGTGAGGCTGGTCTTGAACTCCTGACCTCAAGTGATTTGCCTGCTTTGGCCTCCCAAAGTGCTGAGATTACAGGCGTGAGCCACCCCGCCCAGCATCCAGTATTTTTAAAGTGTTGATTCACAGCCTTCACAGGGAAAACAAACAAAGTAGATGCACCTGTGCCCCTCCAAATTTCTTCTATGACTATTTTTTGCATTGCCAAGCAGCCTGCATGTTAAGTAACCTAACTTACACACTACTGGGCCCAGGTTCCAAGAAAAAACTATTTTGCTATAAACTCATTCTTGATCTTTCTATGTTAGTGTTGGCTGACTTATTAGTCTTAGCTACATTGAGGGTAAAATAAGTGGCTAGTTTTTCCTACAAATTTGCCAAACCCTGTCTGGAATGCATTGTGTTGTGCTTTCAGTAATGGAGTTCTGTGTCACTCACAAGGCACTAATTGAAGCTCTTGGCCTTAAGTAAAATGACACATTTATCTGAAACAGGTGAAGAGGTTAAGGGTGTTCTCTGGGAAGGAATTTTTTGACCCTTTCCAATATCAGAACCTGAATCACTCCTTAAAAATGTGCAAGGAAAATGAATGTATTTTCACTCCACCCTTACAAAATACCAAGTTTCATTGCAACTCAAAAATTCAAGCAGCTAGAACAATGCAGAAACAGTCGCTTCTAAGTAAGTATGTGCCTGTTTATTTTTTTCCTTGTTATCGTTTTCTGATACGCACTCCTGCCTGTGAACTATATTCTAATGATGAGAGGGCTAATCAGGCTTCAAAGGCAAAACCTGCCTCCCTAGAATGGAGGAAAATAATACATTCCCCCTCCCACTGTTTCCTATGTAAAATAAAATACAGGCCTAAGATGTACAAATATTATGATTAACATTCTTGATAGGGATAGGAGAACCCAGTAAAATAACTTTATTTGTGAGGACATTGGGGAATTTAGTCTGTAATGAGGAACTTTAGAGGCAAGTGAGATTTTAGAATTAAGCAAATGACGGCCAGGTGCAATGGCTCACGCCTGTAATCCCAACACTTTGGGAAGCCCGGGAGGGAGGATGGCTTGAGCCCAGGAGTTGGGGACCAGCCTGGGCAACATAGTAAGACCCCATCTTAAAAAAAAATCATAATTACAATAAAATATATAATTACAATAAAATATATAATTAAGTGAATGAATTTTTAAAATATTACTTCCATTCAAGTTCGGAGCCTGGGGGATAAAAGTATTGTGATAAATGATGGCAGAATTAACTAGCCAAAGTGTGACAATTGCGGTAACTTAATTGGTGCTTATGTGAAAGGAGGCGTGTCCTCACCCTTCACTCTTTTAGGGAGTGGCAGAAATCCCAGAAGAGGAGTTCCTACCTCCCGAAGGAGGCGGCAGCGTCGCCCCCTTACCTGCACAGGTGCTCCCGTCGTAGGTCTCGCACACCCATTCGTGGCATTCACACAGGGGCCCGAAGAACATGCCCGGCTCAGTCACATGGCAGATGCAGACGCCGCAGTCGCAGCGGCCCCGGCCGTGGCACAGCGCGGCCCCCGGAGGCTGCCCAGGTGCGCGGCAGCGGCGCTCCGACTCGGCCCGGGACAGCCTGCAGGCGGCGCCTGGCCAGCTCCTGCGCGGGCGACAAGCAACCAGCAGGCTGGGTCAGACGCGGACACCGCCCCCTGCTCCGAACCCACGTTTCCTCCCCAGTGTCCCCTCCAGGTGCAGACGCACAACCCCAGGAACAGGAAGTCTGAGGCCCACATCTCTCTGCGGTCCAAGCGCTGCCTGGAAGGGCTATATTTTCCCAAGCAAGCAGGTACCACCCACCAGAGAAACGACCAGGGCCCAAAACGTGTAAGGGGGTTACCTGCCCCCCGGACACAGGTCCCTTCTCCAGGTGAACAGAGGTGATCTGCCCTGCTCTTTGGTAGTTTGTCACTGAATCTTATATGCACATTTAGATTAAATACAAAGTAATCCAAGGTATGGCACTCAGCTGACTTTTCAGTTTTCCTTTAAAAAATGTCCCACTGCTATCCGATGGCCAATGGGCAGTTATATTATGGAAGAGAAGAGGTGAATATATAGAAAGAACTAGACATGTTATGATAGCATCGGGCATAATTTGCATTAAGCAGTCTTTAGGAACTCTATTTTTAAAAAGTTTAGTTTCACTATTGCAATGTGCCTCCGTCTCTTTCCGAATATGATACAAAATGTAATATAGACCTGTTGCTGCTGTTGGGAAACAGAGATCATTCTGCTTTACAGATTGTGAGAAGATACGGGTACACATAGAATTTTAACTCGTGGCAGAAATTCCTCCTGATATATATTTGCAGAAGTATAAATTATATTTTTATTCAATGATTGCATTTTTCCAAAGGAAAAGCAAAAGGACAGACATGAGGCAATGCACAGTGTAGATATAAGGAGAGGGAATGGAACAGGTTGAAAACAGTTTATCCCGTGTCCAATTTAGTAACAACTCTTGGCTTAGGGCAGCCATCCTGCAAGCTTGAGCCCTGCCACATAAGCACGGCAGGTCTCTACTGAAGAATAACAAACCAAACTTACCTCAGAGATGGCGAGAAGCTTTGAGGAACAGCTGACAACCCAGCAAAGAGAAGGGAGGACGCCAGCAGCAAGAAGTTCCTGAAGCCTGGGGAATGCATGCTGAGCTCCTGGGCTGCTCTGGGCGAGCTGCACTTCTGCAAGGTGGGGTTCACCAAGGGAGTCGGCAGGAGGGAGAGGTGCCACCAGCAGATGGCCGGGCAGACGGACCCACGGACACCCAGGCTTGCAGGTCCAGGACTCCAGCCGGAGTTGCAATTGCGTTGATGAGCTGCCTGCGAGGATTTGGGCAGCGGCACTGCTCTGGGCGGGGTGCTGGTGCCAAACCCCTCAGTGGAGAGTCTAGGCAGGGAAGTAATTAGAAACAGTTGTACAAGCAGATGGTTTATTTTGACATTAAAAAAAGTGTCCTGTTCACAGATTTGAGAAAATCATTTCTTTATTCAAGTACAGGCCCCAGAAATATTTGACAAGAGAATATTTGGACTGGCCGATATTAAAGAGATCTTTAAAATAACCCGAGTTGTGAAGAAGAAGGGTGAGGCCAGTGACTGGTGTGAACACTTGGGTAGGGAATTAGTTTCACCACATGCTTTTAAAAAAGATGCACTCTTTGGAGTTTGGGTTGGGCAAGGGCAAGGAAATTTGGCAAATACAACATTTTCTTGAATTTATTATCCTTTGATTTAAACCGGATATTTCATTTCTTTAGTCTTTAAAAAGTGTGTCATGCTTCCAGCTGTTGAGGCCAGTAGCTTATCACACCACATTTTTTTCTTGACTTGGACAGTTTAAATTGTAGTTGTCTCAAATTCACCCCATTCTCCCCATATGTCAAATATGAGAAAAAAAATTAAATATTTATAGCATAAATTGCACTGAGAAACAATCGGTGTCATTTACTAAGCACCTATTATGTGCCAGTCATTTAGTATGTGTTCTCTAATTATGACAATAATCACACATTTATTTGTGCATTATCAAATGGGGATTTAGCATCTAGCAGGTGCCAAGTTTTGTGCAAGATAGAATGAATGTAACAGGGAACTAAGCAGACATAATCCCTGCTCTCTCAGAGTCCAATGAGCTATAAAGACATTAATCAAAACAAAACCACAAAAACAAGGACAAACGGTTGCAAGTGCAATGAGAAGTTACTTCCAGATGAGATACAGGGACGTGATCTAATCAAAGATGGTAGCATTTGAACACAAAACTGAAAATGGCATCGAATTAAATTGGGTGGAAATAAGAAGGAGATGGAAGAGAACAGAGAGGCGTTCTTACTCCCATTTTAAAGATAAAGAAACTGAGGGCAAAAAGGTCAACTGATTTGCTCAAATTCATACAGGAAGTTAGTCGTATTTCAGCTGAAATCCAAAGCGCGTACACTATCCCCTACATTTGTGGTCATCTGGGAAAAGTGTGTAGAGGGTTATATGGAAGGAAGAAAACATTTTTCATTCAACCTAAGAAGAGCACTATAGATGCAATGCTTCCACATGAAATAGAACCATTCAAGAATCACCTGTGGTCCCAGATCCTTAAAATCAGGGATGAGTCATAACAGGATGGGATTTCTCCCTGTCATTTACATAAGTAGGTATAAGGGCAAGACCACCACTACACTTGCCTGCTGGAGCAAGAAAACAATGAAGGTCCTCTAATCATAGTCCATTTATTTTCTGTTTCTACTCCATTCTCCACCCTGTAATAGGGGAGGTTTTGCATGGGACACATCTGTGTGTCCCCCAATCCCCCAACCCCTACCCACACAACTTATTTCAAATAGCTGATTTTCTGGCCACCCTTAGATACAGGTGTGTACACACTGGTGGAGTCTTCTATGGCAAGGACAGACTGGGGACAGGTATGCAGAGTTTTGGAAGGATGTCTGGACCAGTAATTCTGGGGTCTTGGATACCCAAAGTGTGGCTTAGAAAAAAAGGACACAGGTTCTGAGTTGGCAGGTTCCCTAAGTCACAAGAACTACAACCTGTGGGGGAAGGGTCTGTCTAAAAGAGAGACAGAACGGAAATTACTAACTCAGTTGTTGTTAAAGTGTGGTCCATGGACCAGCAACGTCAGCATCATTTAAGAACTTGTGGAAATGCAAGTTCTTAGGCCCCTACCCCAGCTCTAAGGGATCACAGAGTGTATTTGAATAATATCCCAAGATATCTATTTTTACATAATAATAGCTTGAGAAGACTGCAAATCACAGGGCTCAGGGCTGAGCCTGAGGGTGCTTGGATCTAAGAGTGGAACTTCCACCCACCTTTAGTACAAATTCTAGAGTTACATTTTATCCTGCCCACATGTGATAGTACGAGGACACAGGAACAGGCTTTCCTGTCAACATCTAGAAACCTTGTGACTCAGAGAATATGGTAATTATAGAAGGGAAGTATCTATTCCAAAGCCTGACTAGGAATTTGCAATAAAAATATGGAAGCTTTCATAAATGAGTCATGTATTGTTTACTCCTTGCATATTTTCTGAGGGAAAATTTATTATGAAATAGAGACTTGATAGTTGAACATTTTTAATGAATTTAGGTGATTTTTAACCTGCAGTATTTTCACACAGTGTAGTATTCAATAAGCAATATTATCTTTAATATATTATTCAACTTTGAAGTGAAGTTAGTATGTACTAGGTGACTGAGAAAATGTAAATGTTCAGATCATTACATTACTGTGACTCAGAAATAATATTCCTAGTCAGTTGAAATAGTTATATTGTGGCTGACTTGGTGACTCAGCCGAAAGTCTTGGATCCACAGAAACTCTGTCAAAATGAAAGGTTAACTTTAAATTTATGCCTTTTAGCTTTTTTTTTTTTTTTTTTTAAACCAAAGTATTGAATGCCTTGGAAACACCTACTCCTTCCATTTTCCCAGTTTTCAGAACCTCAAGGACACACATGTGCCAAGAAAGGTCCTGAGTTTCTCACTTCTGCTGGCTGGGGACACAGCAGTGGGCTGGATGCATAATGAATGGTGCCTGAAAGGTCCCCGTGCATCTGGAACTGAACTCAGAAAGATTGAAAACACCCTAGTCCTTGAATGTAGTCCTTCAGTCCTCAGGTTACACAATCAGAGCATTTCGGCATTCAAGGTATTTTTTAAAGGTTGTCTAGTTCAAAACTAAATTTGTTGATAACATACCGTATATGTGCCAAGTAATTAGGTGGCCTTGGTTTAAAAAAAAAAAAAATTAAGAGGACCACATCCTTTTCTGAGAATTGCTTTGAAGGTTTCACCCCTTGGTTCTGGGTCTACTCTAAAAAGACATTTAAAATAATATCCTAGCCACAAGCCTTGAATCAAATATTCAATGATGTAATAGTATATTCCCCAGTCTATATAACCCCCAAACAATTCTACACCCAAACAATTCTACACTTCTTAAAGATAAATATTTTCATTGCCTTCACCTCTTCCTTATGCATTATAACTTTAAGCTTTCAATGCCCTGATTTTCTGATTTTGCTTTTTCTGGGATGGATGCCTTTTGGAAAGTATGATGTATACAACTGAAACCATTCAGTGGCCTAATGGATGTGGAATAGATCAGTACTTTCAGTATTCTTGTTTCATATGCTATATTTCTACCAATAAAACTGAAGGTCACATTCGCTTTTTTGAATGCCACGCTGTCCCAGTTGTGTGCTTTTATAAGTGTATTTTTCCCCAAACACAAATTGATTTATTATTTTTCATCTAAACTTAGTTCTTTTATCCAGTCAGTAAAAATAACTATGGTTACTTGTGTTATATTTCACCCTCTCAAAAGTAAATATGATGAACACACATTCTGTACCCTTATTCAAATAATTAACAAGATATTTGAAAAAAAATTAAGCTGAGGATCAAGTTTAGATACAACCTTTAAGACAATATTAGCCTCTTAGCACATATTGAATAGGCCATCCAACCACTTACAAGTGTACTGAGTTGTCTGATATGAACCTATTTCTTCATTTTGCCCAGAAAAATATTATGAAAGATCCCATCAGTTGTTTTGCTATTCTTAGTTTACTATGTAAATAGGCTACCACTTTTTTCTGCCATTATCTAAAATAGTGCCCAATACAAATTACATTCTTGATATATATGTATGGCAAAAATAAATTAACTAAAAATGATGTACAACATAAATAATAAATTTATGAGTCAACAAAGGATGCAGGTGATATAGTGGATTCTGGATCAGTTGTCAGATGACATTTTGGCCTTAGGTATCCCCTGAGATGACTGTGGATTCAACTTGAATCTATATAACACCAGATCCTTTTCCTATATTCCCAATTTTTGTTAATTATATCATTTTAACTTAATCCCTGTAGACACAATTGTGAGAGTTACGTTTGGTACCTGTCTACAACTCATCTGGATTTTCTGGTAAATCCCTGAATCACACTGAGCCCTGAGCCCACCTACTAGTAATCTAGCCTTCCACTTCAATGTATTTATTTCAGATAAATACATTATTTCAGATATTCATATTGTATCTTGTACACTATTGCTATAGCCTCCCAACTGGTCTCTCTGCATTTACTGTTATCTTTTTGTGTCTACATTTATCCTGCTCCCTCGGACATCTTTCTAGCATGCAAATTTCATCACATCCATTCCCTGTTGAAAATATTTTAGTACCTCTCCATTCATAGTATAAAGCCCAAATACTCTCTGAGTTCATATAAGATGCTTTGTGTTTGGACTCTGACTGTCTCCCTAGTAGATGTTGTGGTTCCTCCCAGATCACCTCTCCAGGGCCCATGCACCCACCCATCTCGCTGATGGCACTAGTAACTGCTGTTAACTCACAGCTGCCCCTCTCACTGAGATTTGCCCTGTGCATAAGAGGACAGGCTTCCCGGAGGCTGGTCACTCAGATTCCAGACAGTTCCCTAATCTCTACCTCCAACAGTATTGATATCATTAAGCCTCTCATATTTGGAAACTGTAGAGCTGGACAGCTCCATCATTGTGCTTCTTTCAACAATGCAGAAAAGACTCAAAAACTGAAAGCGTTAAGATGTACGAGGTGTGAGGTTAACAAGAAGATTTGTACAAATACTTTTAGAGGAGAAATTTGACCTCAGATCTTCACCTATGATCTTTCAGATAGGAAGTTACCTCTTTACCAACTCCATTGAGACCCCAGGCTTTAGACTCAGGAATACTGGACACAGCAGAAGGCAGTATGAAATAAAACAGAAATTAAGTGAAACTGAACCATCTGAACAGTGATTCTCACCCCGTTTCCTTACTTGGCCTATACCAGTCTTATTTCCCTCAGGGGCTATCGATTAAACTGTTAGTTTTTAGAAAACTGAACATATATATATATAAACAAACAATGGATGTGAATGTGAATATTTGAGGCTTTCATAAAAAAAAAAAAAAGCTATGATGGAGCTCACCCTCAATAGGTCCTACTAACATACTGTGAACTTACACTCTTACTTTCAAAACCACACTTTTCATAAAAAGATCACTAAGGATTACTAGG